AGAGGACTGGGGGATATCAGTGGGGAATTTTAGAGGACTGGGGGATATCAGTGGGGAATTTTAGAGGACTGGGGGATATCAGTGGGGAATTTTAGGGGGATGAGGGATATCAGCGGGGAATTTTAGAGGAATGGGGGATATCAGTAGGGAATGTTAGAGGAATGGGGGATATCAGTGGGGAATGTTAGAGGAATGGGGGATATCAGTGGGGAATGTTAGAGGAATGGGGGATATCAGTGGGGAATTTTAGAGGAATGGGGGATATCAGCGGGGAATGTTAGAGGAATGGGGGATATTAGTGGGGAATCTTAGAGGAATGGGGATATCAGTGGGGCATTTTAGAGGAATGGGGGATATCAGCTGGGAATTTAGAGGAATGGGGGATATCAGCTGGGATATCTTTTTGCCTAACTAACTTTTATTAGGCAACATTATATGCTATCCTTCACATACAAGACCACCTTTCTTGCCTTCTCTGTCTTTTCTATATAAAGAGTACCCTGGTATTGCTATGTCTCAGTCATTTTTCTCATTATACCATGTCTCAGTAACAGCGACTAAATCTACACTATCAGTTGTGATTATTGCCACAAGTTCATGGATCTTATTCCCTAAACTGCAAGCATTTGTAAATATGACTCTAAGCATATTATTTTTAAAAACAGGCACTTTCTGTCCTTGTTTTTATTATAATTTATCTTCTAAGGAAGAAGAGGAAAGACGCCAATACTAAAATAAGATTTCTTTGAATTTATAAACAAAGTGTCAAGCATAACTGTGCCGTAACTTGTTTGGTTTCCAATAACTATACCATGTGAATTAGAAACTTAGATTGCTCTTACAGTCTTGTATATTTTGAAAAAGTCAGACTTTTTTTTGTGTTTTGCTGGATGAATTCCGTTATTTTATTTCTGTTATCCTAAAGACCTAAAATGGCACCACGAGGAAAACATTGTACAAAATTCCTTACACATTACACATAAACAAAGTGGCATTTGTTTGAGGTTTTAGTGAAGTTCACTGTGTAGATTGTCTTTCTTAGTTCACTTCAACCGGAATTAGTCAGATATGGACACATGGAATAAAGTGATCTCCGTTCCTGAGATCAGACAAAAGTCTGTGCTATGGCCAGGAGCTTGGAATACTCCCCGTCAAGCTTCCTCAAGCTTGTGGGAATTGGGCTCTTTATTCGGGTCCCCACAGGGTTCCCGTTGTCCTCGATAAGCACTACGTTGTTAGAGTCGAATCGTGGAGTCATGGTAGGCCCGGGCATTTTATGGCCAACGATGAGCGCTTTCTTTTTCTGGCCCTTAATGGCGAGTAGGATCTTGTCTCCCACTTTTCCCACCCCAGACTTGTTGTAGACATGGATGCAGCGAGGTGGACGGTGGTACGGAGTGTTACCCATTGTGCTGTTATCAACCACTCGAACCCTGGTCATCTTCTGGATAGCCAAACAGGATACGGAGAAACTGAAATATAAGGAGCCAAATTTCATTGCTATAAATTAAAGGGATGAATTTCAGAGAAAAAAGCAGCAATTTATGTGGAAGAAGAAGAAGGACAAATTATGTACGTGTATCAGAGCAGTGCTTTTCAAAAGATGTGCCACAACACACTGCAAATAATGCGAGGAACAATGAGTGTAATAGGAAAAATGCAGTCCTTAAAATGGATTGTTAATATAAAGCTACTGGGTGAATGGAGTCCAGATATGTCTAGAATGGTGCACCACACGACCTGGGGGTTTTAGCCCTCAAATCGAAAAGCACAAATAATTAAAGTGGCCTCAACAGACCATAATTTTACAGGGAGTGATCACTTAATGTCTAAAACAATAATAGTTAGATGGTTCCATGAGTTGTTAGTTAATTATCACAAATTTAGTATATCAAAATCTATAGCAATACAACTATTCACTTTTTTAGGATAGCTCTACTCCCATAGTGTAGTACTAATTCTCAACCAGCAGAGGTCGCTGCTACCCTTTTGTAACTTCTGAAGAAAACATTTCAAATGCCAGCTAAAACCAGGAAGGGGAGGTGTAATAACCCTATGTCGACAATAGGGGTCTCTTCAGAGAACTCCTATTGGTATAGTGCCAGTTCAATGTGAAAATATATTGTATAGGCATAGAGGGAGGGAGAGAAAAAGATCAAGACAAGACTGTCCCCTATGAAATCCTTATATTTTATGATATGACGGAGTATCTGACAGCCAGAACTGACAAATACAAATTATGGGTACTGTATATAAGGAAATGGGAAGTATGGGTACTGTATATAAGGAAATGGGAAGTACTGATACTGTATATAAGGAAATGGGAAGTATGGGTACTGTATATAAGGAGATGGGAAGTACTGATACTCTATATAAGGAGATGGGAAGTACTGATACTGTATATAAGGAGATGGGAAGTACTGATACTGTATATAAGGAGATGGGAAGTACTGATACTGTATATAAGGAAATGGGAAGTACTGATACTGTATATAAGGAAATGGGAAGTACTGATACTGTATATAAGGAGATGGGAAGTACTGATACTGTATATAAGGAGATGGGAAGTACTGATACTGTATATAAGGAGATGGGAAGTACTGATACTGTATATAAGGAAATGGGAAGTACGGATACTGTATATAAGGAGATGGGAAGTATGGGTACTGTATATAAGGAGATGGGAAGTACTGATACTCTATATAAGGAGATGGGAAGTACTGATACTGTATATAAGGAAATGGGAAGTATGGGTACTGTATATAAGGAGATGGGAAGTATGGGTACTGTATATAAGGAGATGGGAAGTACTGATACTGTATATAAGGAGATGGGAAGTACGGATACTGTATATAAGGAGATGGGAAGTATGGGTACTGTATATAAGGAGATGGGAAGTATGGATACTGTATATAAGGAGATGGGAAGTACTGATACTGTATATAAGGAAATGGGAAGTACGGATACTGTATATAAGGAGATGGGAAGTATGGGTACTGTATATAAGGAGATGGGAAGTACTGATACTCTATATAAGGAGATGGGAAGTACTGATACTGTATATATGAAACAAGCGGTACCTGTATATAAGGAGTATGCTTTTAATGGTAATTGTATATAAGGAGATGGGGCAATTGATAATTGTATATAAGGAAACAAAGCTAATGATCGTACATAAAGAGATAAAGTATGGGTACTGTATATAAGGAGATGGGAAGTACTGATACTCTATATAAGGAGATGGGAAGTACTGATACTGTATATAAGGAAATGGGAAGTATGGGTACTGTATATAAGGAGATGGGAAGTATGGGTACTGTATATAAGGAGATGGGAAGTACTGATACTGTATATAAGGAGATGGGAAGTACGGATACTGTATATAAGGAGATGGGAAGTATGGGTACTGTATATAAGGAGATGGGAAGTATGGGTACTGTATATAAGGAGATGGGAAGTACTAAGGAGATACTGTATATAAGGAGATGGGAAGTATGGGTACTGTATATAAGGAAATGGGAAGTATTGATACTCTATATAAGGAGATGGGAAGTACTGATACTGTATATAAGGAAATGGGAAGTACGGATACTGTATATAAGGAAATGGGAAGTACTGATACTCTATATAAGGAGATGAGAAATACGGATACTGTATATAAGGAGATGGGAAGTATGGATACTGTATATAAGGAAATGGGAAGTATGGATACTGTATATAAGGAAATGGGAAGTACTGATACTGTATATAAGGAAATGGGAAGTATGGATACTGTATATAAGGAGATGGGAATTACTGATACTGTATATAAGGAGATGGGAAGTACTGATACTGTATATAAGGAGATGAGAAATACGGATACTGTATATAAGGAGATGAGAAATACGGATACTGTATATAAGGAAATGGGAAGTACTGATACTGTATATAAGGAGATGGGAAGTACGGATACTGTATATAAGGAGATGGGAAGTATGGGAACTGTATCTAAGGAGATGAGAAGTACTGATACTGTATATAAGGAGATGAGAAATATGGATACTGTATATAAGGAGATGAGAAGTATGGGTACTGTATATAAGGAGATGAGAAGTACGGATAAGGAGATGAGAAGTATGGGTACTGTATATAAGGAGATGAGAAGTACTGATACTGTATATAAGGAGATGAGAAGTACGGATACTGTATATAAGGAGATGAGAAGTATGGGTACTGTATATAACGAGATGAGAAGTATGGGTACTGTATATAAGGAGATGAGAAGTATGGGTACTGTATATAAGGAGATGGGGAGTACTGATACTGTATATAAGGAGATGAGAAGTATGGGTACTGTATATAAGGAGATGGGGAGTACTGATACTGTATATAAGGAGATGGGAAGTACTGATACTGTATATAAGGAGATGGGAAGTACTGATACTGTATATAAGGAGATGAGAAATACGGATACTGTATATAAGGAGATGAGAAATACGGATACTGTATATAAGGAGATGGGAATTACTGATACTGTATATAAGGAGATGAGAAGTATGGGAACTGTATATAAAGAAAGTGATTGCAGTAAACTCACCTGAAAGACTGACGGTTTACGATCTGCCATGTCTGGGTAGTCAGGAGTCTTAACCCTCTATCCATCCTGCTTCAGTTGCTCCTAAAGACAGGAAAAATCAATCGCCAAATGCAGAGTGTGGAATGAAATGTATTGATCCACTTTACAGACAACAGATGCATTGAACCAGCAGAGCTGATAATCAGTTTATGCTACAACACAGTAAGAGCCAGGACAAGCCCTAATTCTCTATGTGCATTCAAGCTCGCCATGTAACAGTGGTTACGATTATTCACACTCCGCAGTGGGTTCAGCGTTTTTGTACCAATGGTTACATTGGTAACTTGGGGTCATGTTAATTCCTCCAGGATTCCCATCTCCACTTCTCTCATCCATGGCACCCATATTCTGTGACCATTTATAGTCAGACTGCTGGATTTGTGTCCATCCCCAAACCATATCATGCTAACTCTCCAGCTTTACATTCCTGAATATCAGTCAATGATTTCTGTACTGGTTATGGTGCCAGGAGTGCGACCCCCACCCCCTCCCACTGCGAGTAGGAGCTTCGTTGGCACTCCTTAGGTAAACCTTGCAGCTCATTGGCTGAGATCAGTGCAAGACTTAAGGGGAGACTCCAGACTTCTGTGGCCTCTTCTATTACTCTTACGAAACATACAGATTTCAATTTCAAAATTTCCTGGTTTGGTTAACTCTGTGGAACTAAACTCCAGAGGCAGCAATTGATCAGAAAGATTTCAGCTGATTTATACATTCTCCTCAGAGCTGACAAAGAGCGAG